TGCTTTCATGGCAGCACACAGACATCTGCAACAAAGCCTGTATTTATTTTCTTGCAGAATATCTCAGAAATACCTAATCCATCAATAAATATAAATAAACTCAGCCACCTAAGCCTGCAGATGAGCAAGAATGCTCTGACTGTCACACAACCAGATCTCTGTTATCACCAGCTTCATCAGGAGCTGTGGGCAATCTGGCTTCCACCACAACACAGACAACAGCTGGGTCCTCTCTGACCTCTCAGATGTTGTGCAGGCTGGTGGGATGGTTTAACATGTGCTTTCCTCCACTCCAGAACTGTGGTCCAGAGACAGTTGCTTCCCCTCTTGCTGTGGGAGATGCTATGTTACTTGCATTTCAACTCTGTCTCAGTAAAAGAATATTCTCTATGATATATTTATTATTTTAAGCAACAAACCCCACTGCCGTAAAGCCTACTGATTTGGCTGCTAATAAACATTGTGAACTGGAGCAGCATCTGAATTTCTGAAGCAGTAAATCCAGCTCTCAGCTAAAAAACTGACAGCTCTCATAAAAGAAAGAAAGAAAGAAAAAAAATGCAAGTAAAACATCCTAAGGAAATTATCGTTCAAATTAACTGCAGACATAAATTTATCCATCTGTTATCATAAGTGTTACTTGAAAATTATTTGCCCATAAAAATGAAATAAGCCAGAGTGGGTTTTTTTCTTAAACATTGACTTCATGTGTATGGTCTTAGCTGCCAAAATATTAACTCTTTTTAACAGCCTGTGTGCTCTTGGCTGTGTGTCTCTTGACTGTAAATGGACCTTTATAAATTGTCTGTATAAATGATATCTAAGGAACCTCACTGTTATTGCAGATTAATAATTCCAAGTAAACCATCATGATTTTCAAAACACAAAACCCATGTAAATGCCCAAATTTTATGTGGAAGTGCTCTATTTAGCTACCTTTATTCATTCAAAGGGAAAAGCTGCCCTGTCCATTAAATGAAAAATATCATTTAACTGCACAAACAATAACTGCTGTTTCATTCCTAGGGTACAGTTACTGTGAATACAGATATGGTGAGATTTTCACATTAAGTTTGAACATGGTAAACACTGGCAGTAGTGGAACAAAGTCCACAGAACTGGATACAGAGCTGGGTCTCTTTTACCCAGAGCCTGTATTTTTCTTGGAGAAGAGAAAGAAATGAAAGTAGAAAGAAAAAATTGCTATTTTCACTTCTACGTGTTTTATAAAGGAATAAATTAAAAGTCTGAATTACTTCAACACATTTAAATAATAAGTAAAGTCATGGAAGACGGAAAAGGCAGACATCTATTGAAAAGTCTATTTTTTATTTTTAAGAATGACAGAAAACTGAAAAGTTCCTTTTAGAATTGTGTAATTTTTTTGGTTTGTTTTAATACTTTTGACTGAAACAAAACCTCCCATCTTTCAATAGCATAAAAAAAACTTTGGTTCACTTTATGAAAAACTGTTTTATCTCAGCTTGGATATTCAAATGTCTGTCCCCTGCCTACTCCTTTGTCCCCAGGATTTGTCTGCAGGATGTTTCACAGCCTTGTGCTGTTACAGGCCAGACTCAGAACCAGCTCTCCTAGGATGCACCACAAGGTCTTTACAGCACAGCTCTAAGTGGCACATAGTGAAATTTTAGTGGGAATCCCAGTTTACAGGAGAGCAATGACACCCAAGCACCTGGGATTTTGATTGACAGCTGCAAAAATGGACTTGTTTTTCCAGAAGAAAAGAGAAAAATTTTGTTTTCCACAAATGCCCATTTTTTTTACCAAAAAATCAGACACTTGCATCCTCCAGCTCGGTGGCACCAGGCTCCTGCACCACCAGGCTGCCAGGATATCATCATCTTGTTTTTCATTTGAAGCCACTCACTGGATTTGCTTGGGGTTTTTTGTGTTTTTTTTTTGGTTCTGCAATCATGGAGCAGGATACACTGAGCCAAACCTGATTGCAATTTGCAAAGACACCTGCGTGGTGCCTTCTGCCTTAGTCAAACTTATTATACTAATTAATTATTAGATGTTACAGAACTACCCATCCACGGCACTGAAATCTTACCATAAGCTGAGGATGATGTCCCAAGAGAGCAACAGAGCCTCAGGAGCTGCATGCCGCTGTGCAAAAGCCAGGTAAAACTTCACTACAGCAGCATGCACAAGGTACAGCTCCCTGCAGGGAGGCCACCAGAGGAACAGGCAGGGCTCAGCCTCAGGAGGGCTGTTTTCTGGGAGAGATCCTATTTCCCAGCCCCTTGGCTCCAGTTATACCTGGGAGTAACAGGATACCTCTGAGTCCATATGAATCATCCTGCAGGGCTCGGGGCTCCCTCCTAGAGCAGCCCTGGTCTGTAAAACTGCATTTGTTGAAGTACTTCCAAGGTGCTTTTCTCATAACAGGCTTATTTTCTTACTTAGGAAAATACTTATTTTCCTAATTTTATTTGGCAGCACAGTTTTATCCGATTCTTCCTTTCCCAGAAACTATGATGGAGATTATGAAATTTGGGAACCAATTCATAATTCACATATATAATTACTATTCATTCATTAGTTCCAATATCCTCAGAATTAAGGGATTAATGCAGACATGATGCTTGGCATAAAGGGCATTATCTTCTGAAGCACATTGTCCAGAATATTTTTTTTCAAATTATTTCCCCTTCATCATGTCAGTCTTAGAGATGCACAATCTCAAATTGCATTGCTCTGGTGGCAAATAAACTCCTACAGACTATCATGCCTATCCTAACTGAAAGTGCATTTTGCACTAAAATTTTGCACTTCAGAATTCATGGGAATATGTGAAAGCCTCAACTTTCATCAAAAACATCCTTTACTTTTATAAAAGGCAAAAACAAACCCTCAAAGTTTTATAAAACAATTTGAATTCATGACCCAAGCACATACCAAAGAAATCCCTCAAAATAAAAGAACTTGATATATGGACGCAAAATAAAAGATTTATCAGTAAAACCCACTCTTCAAATTCAGTGCATGGGGGGAAAAGAGGAAACAAAAGTCCTTCAGAAAAAAAAATTGCATTTGAATCATAAGAAGAAATGAACTTGCCTGCACTTTGGTCACATAGAAGTTTTGGCATTGAAAAAAAATTAATATTCTTAGTGTTCTCTGCATGAAGAAAAAAACACCCCAGAGAAGAAAGCAGGAATTAATTGTATTTAAAGGAGGGATAGCCTGCAGGGATGGCCCAATTTGGTGAGAAAAGCCAAAGGGACGCTGGAACAAAGAACCCAAAACAAAAAGCTTCCCTTGGCATCTCCCACACCCCAGTTTTCAATAAACCCGTTTGTCTGTTCTGTCCTTCCACGCTCAGTGCTGGGAAAACAAAACAACCCAGCAACAAAGGCAGTTTTCAACATCACCAGAAATGGGCCTAAAAGACAAAGTGAGCCTTGCTCTTTATGAGCCAGCTTTCCCAAGGGATGCTCGCTGGGAGTTTCAGGTAGGTGCCCTCTGATGGGGACAGGGGAACAAAGTTAAAACCTCCTGTAAGTTAGAAGTGCCTTTCTAAAGAATGTAACAAAGAATTAGCTTCCATTGGCTTAATTTCACCTCTGTTATTTGAACAAATAGCTGCAGTGGGTTGGATCCATGACTCACCTAGTCCATGGTCTGTGGACTAGGTGTAGAGCATGACAAGTAGGCAGTGATGCCCAGTTTATCCTCTGAGCTCCATTTATGTACTGGTTAAGGGATTTCCAAAACTGGAAGCAGTTCTCTAAACCATCGTGTTCGATAATCTCCGATAAACCTCGCTCCTTGGGTTAGACAGGCTGGTTTTTATGAATGCCTGTCCAATTATGAGCCATCATGATATATTTTCCTACTGTAACAACAGTTAAGCAAAACTTCTTGGCCAGAAATATCAGCCAAGCCTGAGATTAAATAAGCTTGGGAAAATTCAGTCCGGATACACTCAAAAAATAAATACATCAAAATGCACGTGTCTCTGCTAAAACCCAGTCTTTAATCAAAATTCCCACTGAAGTGAGTAGCGAAAGGTGAGTTTTTGCCAAAGTTCATAGCGAGAGCCATGGGATGAGAAGAAAAGTTCTGTCAAAAATGAGAAATTGCCAAGGAGAGGGAGCAGGAGGAGCAGACTGGTTCTCAACACAGCAATCTCAGCCTGCCTTGAAGTCGAGGGAGCTCAAAGAGACACTTAAGCTGGTGCTCAGGATTCTGCTGAGCTGGGGCCTGAATGGTTATTATTTATACTCTTATCACACAGAAATATGAATTCCATTGGATAAGGGAAAAGAAATTTAAAAAGGGAGAGAGAGGACAGTAGCCTGTACTGTCGCAGGCTCACAGAAGTACTGCAGACATCTTTGTTCTCCAGACTTCAGGGAGAGCACTTAAACAGGAAGAGGGACACTTGGGACTTTTACCTTATGTTTTAAAATGCTGGTATTCAGCTACACACACAACTCATGCACTCATGCAAAGCCCCAAACCAGCCAGTCTGTACAGACATAGCACCAAAGCTGCTCAGTCACCCATTGAGAAGGTTTAACTGCAGCAACCCCAGAAGGTTTCAAATCCTGGGCCAGTGCCTGGAGCAACACACACGTGCCTGTGCCACCAAAGGGTTTGTGTTCTGCCACTCACTGCCATCAGCACATGGGCTTATGAATTCAAAGGCACTTGAATCATCTACACCTGTGGCAAAGCAACCCACAGGTCTGGGAAGGGAACAAACACAACACCATGAAAAGTGCTTACAGCTTCACATTTCCACAGCCAGATGGAAAACAAAGTAAGTGCAGCCTGTGTGCAGCCTGCCTGGACCTAGATCCACCTCCTACAACAACTCACTCAATTTTAGAAGTAGGTCTGGACAAACAAAATTCTTTCAAAGGAAAGCCTTGTAAGAAATTTTCCCACAGGCTGAGACCTGAATCATTCCAAACACTTTACTTCCAATCATAGTAACAGAGTAAAACAGAAAAAAAATCATGCCATACCTGCTCCAAAGGCAAAGAAGAAGCTCTTGTCTCTGTTTTCCCTTAAAAGTGACATCACTCTTCTCCCCATCCTCTCATTCCTCTTGTAGATGAGCTCCTGTCTGAAGTAGCTGTCTATTTCTTGAGCTGTCACCTGCTCATGGGGTGGGAGTGTTGTGTTGATGAAGTTTGGTACCTGAAAGAGAGAGAGAGAGAGGCCATAGCCCAGGTGGCATTGGTTAAGGAACCCACAAAACACTGCATGTTTTAATTCAGCCTTCTTGAAGCCACCTAAGCACCACTTTTGCACACAAACCCACTAGAGGATCGGAACACAGGAGGTAATTAGGAACTCAAAAAAAAAAAAAAAAGAAAGAAAGAAAAGAAATTCCCAATTAATATACTCTCTTTTAAAAAAGTGAAACTAGTATTTTACTAAAGGAAACTTTAGCTAGTTTTGATTTTGCTCTGTCCCTTCATGAAAATGTAGTTTCAAGTGTTACATCTGGGTGAGTTACTTGGACCTTTATTCTCTGGTTGTTCAAAAAAAATTATTGGCTGTTTAATAACAAATTCCTGTGATGTGTTCTCAGCTGAGGTCACCATGGACTAAGTAAGGCCTGTAAGATTTGGCTTGTATATGTGTTTGTTTAAGAACCTAACAGTTTAAAAAGAGGAAAGTATAGCAAATGCAGACACAGGAAGATGCACACAGGGTAAACCCCCTTATCCTTACATGCTATTAGGTCTGAATAGAGAAGACCATGCATTGAAACACATAAATCCCTGGAACATTCCTGGTATATCTGAGGAAGGGACTTCCACAAGAACTGCTCCTTCAGTCTCTGCTTTTGTGAGGAGAGATGTTCACAGACATAGCAGAAAGGTTGAAAGTTCAAGGACTTTGGTCAGGGCAGCAGACCCAGGAATGAGCCAAGATCCAAGCTGTAATGGACAGATAATCCAAAAGTCTCTGATTATTAGGATAACAACTTGTTTTGAAGCAGTGAAAGTCCCAGGTCTACCACAAGGGTTTAGGAGCCCACATGCCCTGCAGAGAAAAGAGCTGTAAGGGGGCAGTCTTTGATGATTGCTAACAGGACCCAAGCACTTTCTGGTGATTTTCTGTGCCTTACCACTGGAAAGCAGTTTAAGCTGCAAACCCCAGGTTCAGATTTCTGAGTCCCTAGGTACATGTAAAGCTGCCAGGATTTCCAGTGTTAATCTGAGTCAGTGGTAATGACATTGCATGCACAGCCCATGAGGGGAACATCCCTCACTCACTATGCTGAAACACTTGGTACAGTGACTCTGTTACTTGGGTTAATTCCATCTCTGGTTTTCTACTATACAAAATTCCTGTACTCATTTTCTAAAACTTGCCTTTTGTTTTTGTTTTTTAGCCCACCTCTTCCCATTCCAATTGGTCACATTGTTTTATCACAACAATTTTTGTCTGTTCCCACCCTGTTTGCTTATACTGCATCTCCAAAAGTTTTCAGCAAGTCTTAGGGAGAAAAACTGATTTCCACCTTCCCAGTGACTCTCCTTAAAATTTTTTCATGGCAGCCCCATCTGCATCACTCCTAATATATGTGAGGGACCAAGCAGCAGGGATTTCTCATCATGCATTATGCAGGATGAGTCTACACCTCACTCTGGATTCACACTAAAGGCTGTTCCCAGTTGACTGAGACAGAAAAGTGGACCATACCTCCTGAACCAGGGGATCCTAAGGAGATGGAGGTAACACTCCATGTAAGAGACCCTGCCCCAGCCTATTGGGTCTCACAGACCAGCTGGACCTTTGATTTTCCAAACCGCTTCTCAACCTGCTTTGCCAAATCACCGTGCTCCTCACAGCATGTCCTTCTTTAAGGGTTCAGTCACATTACCCTGAGTCATTCCTTCCTCCAGGCTTTCCGGCATGGCTTGGCATGACCAGTGTAACCGGTGAACTCCTCAGAGTATGCAAGTACTTTGCACCTTGTTCTCAGTTTAGCCCTGAGCCAGCACTCAAGAAGCAGTAAGTCCCACTAAGTCAGACCTCTTGGAGACACCAGTTTCCTGTGAAAGACCAAGGAAGTTAACTCCTTGTCTGGCAAGAATTCATGTTTGTCTCAGAGGGATCGAGGAGCAGACTGACAGTGTCAAAGAGATAAAATGCTGCTGGCTACAGCAGCAAAGGACATAATGGCTTCCATTCCTGGTGAAAAACAGGGAGAGATTTATATTGTAGGAATCAAGTCTGAGGAATGAGTAGCCATTTTACACTTGCAGTAACCTCTGTAATGCAAAGCTGCAAATTAATTGGTCCATGGAGATATCCCAAACCTTTGCATCTCCCTATACTGGAACTCTCAGGCAGGAGTCAGGGAAGCCTTCAGGCACTGAAGTGGAAGGTGACATTTTGAGGAAGCATCTGAAGGGTCAACATCCACATAAGACAAGTCTCTTCTTCCCTGCTTCTGGCTGAAGGGAAGTGAAGGCTGGGTCCTGGTTTTGAATCACTTGAGCTGCTTTGGGGAATGCAAGGTACAGCCTTGCCTGTGAGCACAACCTGCTCCTACACACAGCAGGAGCAGCAACGCTTGGGGACCAAGCAGCTTTGTGCATCTCACTGGTGATGGAGGTCTAGATACCCAAAAAACAGATGTTGTATAAGGTCTTTGCCAAGAAGGGAAGCACCTTTCACTGCCTTGTGCAATTCCATCACTTGCAATCCTACATCCACATTTAACCTTCTCTCTATCTAACCTAAAATACAGTACACAAAACAGACATTTACTTGCCTCTGCCCCCACACCCCCCGCCCCTTTCCTTTTTTTCCTTCTCTTCTGTGGGGAAAATTTGTCAATGGCAGAGAGATAAACTTAAAACCAAGGACTGGGTTTTGTCAATCTTTCTTTTGCTTGCCCAAGGAACAAGACAAAAGAAGGCATCACTTAGAGAGGCACAGCATCAGCTACAGGTCCTGCTGCACTGTGTGCATTCCTGAACTTCTGATGCCTGGCAAAAACAAAATCTGCACGTGTGTTTCAGTGTATGTGTGGCAGAGGAGAGAAGATAAATGACTGCAGTAAGTATGCCCCTACACAGTAGTGCAACCACACTCTAAGCTGTGACACTTGCCCCATTAATCACCTCCGCTCCTCCCTGTATCCAGGTCCTTTCCACAGTCAGTGACACACACCATGCCTGGCTTCAGGGAGACAGCTGCTCCTGTTGATTTAAGAAACCCTTAAACCAGACAGGGATCAGGAAGTCAAGAAACAGTCACACACAATTAGGAAACTCTTAACTGGAGCCAGAATTTAAGTTTGGGGGGTTTTTGGAAAAGAGAAGATCTGTTATTTTAAAAGGATGGGCTCAATATGCACCAAAAGGATGTACCTTCCCCCTTTTATTTTATTGCCATTTTGTGAAAAAAAAAAAAAATTAACATTTTAATGATAAGAATCTGTTGGTTTTGAGCTGAGAGTGAACGATTGAGACATTTGCTGTGCCCCTGGGATGGACTTATCTAATAATACCTGAATATTGCTACCAGTATTTAAATGTACAATGGAGTGGATTATGTGTCCATTGAAAAATCCAAGCTTCTAATTTTGCTGTTCACATAGGAGAGTAACAGCTGGATCAGGAGAAAAACGCATGACCTGGGGTGTGCTCACTTCTAGTGGATGCACATGATAAGAGACAAATAGATTCTTTACATCCAGTCTCTGCAAGCCGTGCAGTTTTCTAAGAACCCAACCAACTCATATTTGTATATAATTCTAGTGGAAAACTGAATAATGTATCTCACTGAGGCATTAAAAATAAAGAATATTTTGTTTTACTTAGTAAGGTAACACTCCTTTATTCTATTCCTATTTCTTTCAGGTTACAGCTCTCCTACAGACAGTACAGATGGACCACAAACTCAGTTATTAGGTACACCCTGCATTTCTCAGTTAAACTTTTAAGGTTAAAGGAAGGGACTATGAGAATTAAAGAGAAATCCCAGCCTTGCAAAAATTTCTTTCCCTCCCCACTGTCTGTGTAGTTTTACTTGAGTCAGTGTCCCTGATGGAATATATGTGTGGCTAAAGCTCTGTACACACGTCTGAGCTCACAGTGCTGTGGGATGTGGGCCATAATTCTTCACCTTTGAAGTCAGTGGGAGCTTTAGGGAGAAGAAAGAGGAAGGATTGTGGAGTGGTTATGACACTACCCTGAAAAAATGGTTCTGCTCCCATGGGTGATACAAATCTCTTACATGATCACAAGCATGTCATTTGGGTTTAAACCTTCAAAGGAAACTCAGCACTTAACCTCCACTAAGTGTCTTTGAAGCATTTGGCTTTATTCCTCCTGTGTCTCAAAAGTCCATCTGTAAAATGGGGACAGAGACTTTCTAAAGAGACTTTCTAAAAAGGCTTTCTACCTGGATGTTACATATGAGGCACTGCCTAAGTCCATCTCTGGAGGGACCCAAAGGAAGATCCAAAGTCCAACACAATGCTCAGCAGTAAGCTCTCTTCCCATAAATTTCCACAGAGGCTTGGATTCTGCTGCAATCATTAGCATAAGAGCTAACAAGATACTTTAGCTTAGAAAAATACACCAGCCATAACTCAAGATCTATGCTATGCTTTCAGCTTTGCCTGTGGAGACAAAGAAAAGATTAAAAAAAAAAAAAAAAAAGAGAGAGAAAAGCAAAATGTAATGGTGCAGAGTCTTTTATCACATTTAGGACTTACTGCCAAAGTGCAGCTGAAAATTCATGGACACGGGACTACATTAAAAGTCCATTTTTTATATTTACTATTTTTTAATATTTGGACAAATATTCTGGGCAGAGGCACAATGCCAGAGTTGTGAACATCTATCTGCAAATAATTTTTTTTGGACACACATAAGCACCATCATCTTTGATTACATTTTTTTTTTTTTTTTACTTTGGATTTGTTATCTACAGTGGAACTGCTCTAGACTCAGTCCAGTATCAAATCATTATCATATGCGGAGTAGGAGTGTTATCGTTCCTACTCCTATGCACTACATTTCCCAATCCTTTGATAACCTTGTTTAGCCTTGTTCTGTTCCAGTGATGAGACTATTTCTGGAATGTGCATTCAAATTGTAATATTATGTCAATCAAAAAACAACATTACCAACAATGGAATAAAGAGCTGTGTGCCTTTCCTCACC